TTTTTCGTATCTTTTTCGCCCCGTGAACGGATGTTACGATTCGAGCCTTGGTTCCTTATTGGAACATGTTCCCGAATATCGTTCATTCTTTAATAAAAACCGTATAAATCCAAGTTTCAAACTTTGTGCACTATTTAAAAAATTCAACACACCTTCGTATTTCTTAATTAGATCTTTTACAGCCGCAGATCTTTTAGATCGCCGAAACAACAGCCCTTGGTCGGGTAAAACCCCGAGTCATTCCGGTACGTAGAACCGGCTGTCGTGGGAATGAACATTTGTAAACTCTTCTCCATTGGTGTTTTTGCAGTATTACAATCTGTCATTTCAAATTTTTCCAAAATTCTCTCAATGTGGTTCTTTTGACTCATTTTAAGTACACCATCTTGCAAAAATGTTTCCAAGTTCTGTTTTAAGATCTTCAATGACTTGCAAATTGTTTCCAGAAATAAGAATGTCATCGACATACAAAATTAAATAAAGTGTGTATGTTTTACCAAATTTAAAGTACAAGCAATAATCATGTTTAGAACGCTCAAAGCCATGATCAAACAAAAATAAATTAAATTTTTCGTTCCAGCATGTAGGACTTTGCTTCAAACCATATAAGGATTTCTTAAGTGTACATACCATGTCTTAAGAAGCTTGCAGTCCATATGGAATTTCCATATAAATCTCTTCTTTTAATGCACCATACAAAAATGCAGTTTTAACATCCAACTGATGCAGAATGTAACCTTTCTGAACACTTACAGTCAGTACAATACGTACAGTTGTCAACTTTGAAACAGGATCATATGTTTCCTCATAATCTACACCAGCCTTCTGTAAAAATCCTTTTGCAACTAACCTTGCTTTATGACGTACAGGATTTCCATCAGCATCCTCTTTTACACGGAAAACCCATTTTAATTTTAGTAGCTTTACATTCGGCGGACGTTTAACTAACTACCAAACCTTATTTTCGTCCATCGAACAAAGTTCTTCATTGATGGCTTTTGTCCATAATAACTTATCCGACCTTTTATTAAGATCTGTATATGTTAATGGCTCACATGGTTCATCCAAGATAACTGAGTATCCAGAAATATACTGGACAAGTATGTGCTTAATCCTTTCTTGGACATCAGGATCACCTGCCTCACCTCCAATAAATAAATCACTTACATCTGAATTTCCAGCCTCCCCTTCGAAACTATCGCCATCATGTTCGTTATTTGTATTATAATCACAGGAACTAGCACGACTTTCTTCTTTCTCCGCCTCTAGCTGGTGCGTAACATCTATTATCAAATAGTTGTTGTTTTCATTTGAAGATTGACTACGAAGTTTATACGGATATATAAATTCGTTGAAACGGACATCTCTTGCAATAACAATTTTTTGTTTGCTATCAGTCCAAAGCCTATACCCATTTGGAGCATACCCCATCATAACAAGCTCAGTTGTTTTGGCGTCCAATTTCTCTCGTTTTTGTTGAGGAACCCATGAAAAAACTTTACAACCAAAGATTTTAAGTTTAGATATATCAGGCTTTTGACTATACCATAATTCAGCGGGCGTTTTCATTAAATTAATACTTCGGCATGGACTTCTGTTAAGAATATAAGTTTCCGTAAGAGCTCCTTCACCCCAAAAAGACCTTGGAGTACCACTTTCAAGAAGCATAGATCTTACTTTTTCCACAAGCGTTCTGTTGAACCGCTCAGCAACCCCAACCGGCTTTGGAAAATATGCCGCTGAGCATTGAATTTGAATTCCTTTTTGTTTGAAGAAACACGTCTCTTTCTTAGATATATATTCACGTCTTTGGTCTATAGTTAACATTGCAATAGGTAGGTTATGCATTGATGAGACTACAGCTTATCGTAAACTTCGGACTTCTTTTTATTAAATATATAAACGCGAAATGACTAAAATCATCAATGAAGCTTACAAAGTATTTGAATTCATCCCAAGTCAAAGGATCGAAGGGACCGCAAACATCTGAATGAATCCTTTCTAGCAATCGTGATGATGTTGGACGATTTCCATTAAATAGAGTTCGGCACTGCTTCCCTTGAATACATACATCACAAAAACCAACTGGTTTGTATTGTTCCAAGCCGCGAACCATTTCATTTCGAACGAGATCTTGAACTGAATTGTCACTTGCATGACCCATCCTCTTATGCCACAAACTGCTTTCATCAGTTTTACTCAAGTTGGACATCTTCATAAAATCCAATTTTAATTCGTAAAGACTTCCATTCTTAATCGCTTTCATAATAGTATTATTTTCCTTTTTGAAAAACGCTACCACACCAGAAAATGTTATTGGGCCGCACTGTGTTGCGGCTAGTGGAAAAGTAACTTTTTTCCGATTATTTTTTTCATTGTTTTTAATGATGCAATTTTGTCACAGACATTCCAAGTAAACAAAAAACACATAAAGCTTATTTTTATGTTGGCCCGTTGATTTTTAATTGATTTTAGAAGTCAAATATACAAAATTTTCACGANTATTGACTTCAAACCGGTATCAAATTAAAGCTTTTATTGCCACCTTTCAAATAAGAAATGAAATAGATTTTGGTTTTATATAAAATTTCAGAGTTTTTCAACAAATATCGAAAAATCATGAAAATTTGACGTTTATAATTCTTGTTCGGACCACCCTATAGTTTATTTAAAAAACTAATCATAGAGTATTTATCAGAAATAAAAGAACAATTAAAATAAATTTTTTTTGTAAATTTTTCGAACAATTATTATTTTTTTTTGAATTTTGTTTAAAATTTGACCCAACAATTTTTTTCGGTGTAAATTTTTTTTTCACTCATTCTGTTTGGGATTTCATTCTGACCAATCTGTAGAAGTTTCTCATCGATACAATTAAAATTACAGTTTAGGCAATATGATTTCCAAAAAATTCCGGTTTCGCAACACTGTGGGCCGTATGAATAAAAAATAAGCAATTGCTTTTTCTTAAAATTTCTTACCCTTTACTCGATTTCTTCAAACAAAATTGAAGTAAGAGGTATGCAATTTTAAGAACATAACAAAATTAGCCAACACCAGCCAACAATCAAAATCAAGAGAGTAAGCGAAAATTCTCTCCCAAAGAGATGAAAAAGCAAAAAAGTAAACGAACAGGAAATTAGCCATTACTTGCAAAAACCGGAAGAAGAAGACACACCAGNACTGAAATTCATGTTGCCTCCATAGAAGAAAAAAGGAAAGTGGACGTTCAATGTTCGCCAGGAACATTTCTAGAAGTAAAAACTAGTTGGCGCTATCATAAAGTCACATAGCAGGCAGCCAAAAAGCATATAAATACCAAAACTCGGAAAATACAATTTTGTTTGTTTACAAAAATTGCAACCATATGTTTTGTGTTGGATAATCACTGTGGTTTACGTAAACCTAGCTGACCCACACATTTTTGCGAATATCTCGGAAACCAATGGAGCTACTAAATTAAGTTTTAGTGGCGTTGAAGAACACCTAAAGGACACCTAGTTTACGTAAACCTAGCTGACCCACACATTTTTGCGAATATCTCGGAAACCAATGGAGCTACTAAATTAAGTTTTAGTGGCGTTGAAGAACACCTAAAGGACACCTAGTTTACGTAAACCTAGCTGACCCACACATTTTTGGGAATTTCTCGGAAATCAATGGAGCTACTAAATTGGTTTTAGTGGCGTTGAAGAACACCTAAAACACACCTAATTCCAGCATATATTTCGAAAATTTAAAACCTAAATTTAACGATGGGTCAGCTAGCTTTACGTAAACCTAGCTGACCCACACATTTTTGGGAATTTCTCGGAAATCAATGGAGCTACTAAATTGGTTTTAGTGGCGTTGAAGAACACCTAAAACACACCTAATTCCAGCATATATTTCGAAAATTTAAAACCTAAATTTAACGATGGGTCAGCTAGCTTTACGTAAACCTAGCTGACCCACACATTTTTGGGAATTTCTCGGAAATCAATGGAGCTACTAAATTGGTTTTAGTGGCGTTGAAGAACACCTAAAACACACCTAATTCCAGCATATATTTCGAAAATTTAAAACCTAAATTTAACGATGGGTCAGCTAGCTTTACGTAAACCTAGCTGACCCACACATTTTTGCGAATTTCCCGGAAACTAATGGAGCTACTAAATTAGTTTTGGTGGCGTTGAAGAACACCTAAAACACACCTAATTCCAGCATATATGGAGTAGCTCCATTCGTTTCCGAGAAATTCGCAAAAGTATGTTTTTCAGCTAGGATTACGTAAACCACACACATTTTTGCGAATTTCCCGGAAACTAATGGAGCTACTAAATTAGTTTTGGTGGCGTTGAAGAACACCTAAAAGACACCTAATTCTAGCATATATTTGGAAAATTTAAAACCTAAATTTAACGATGGGTCAGCTAGGTTTACGTAAACCTAGCTGACCCACACATTTTTGAGAATATCTCGGAAACCAATGGAGCTACTAAAAATTAGTTTTAGTGGCGTTGAAGAACACCTAAAAGACACATAATTCCTGTACATATGGGTTTCGAAAATTTAAAACAAAAATTTAAAGATTGTTCAGTTAGGTTAACAGCGCTAAGCTAGCTGAAAAACACATTTTTGCGAATTTCTCGGAAACCAATGGAGCTACTAAATTAGTTTTAGTGGCGTTGAAGAACACCTAAAAGACACCTAATTCCTGTACATATGGATTTCGAAAATTTAAAACAAAAATTTAAAGATTGTTCAGTTAGGTTAACAGCGCTAAGCTAGCTGAAAAACACATTTTTGCGAATTTCTCGGAAACCAATGGAGCTACTAAATTAGTTTTAGTGGCGTTGAAGAACACCTAAAGGGCCCTAATTCCAGCATATATTTGGAAAATTGAAAACCTAAATTTAACGATGGGTCAGCTAGGTTTACGTAAACCTAGCTGACCCACACATTTTTGCGAATTTCTCGGAAACCAATGGAGCTACTAAATTGGTTTTAGTGGCGTTGAAGAACACCTAAAAGACACCTATTTCCTGCATATATGTATTTCGAAATTTAAAAAAAAAAAATTTAAGATTGTTCAGCTAGCTTAACAGCGCTGAGCTAGCTGAAACACACATTTTTGCGAATTTCTCGGAAACCAATGGAGCTACTAAATTAGTTTTAGTGGTGTTGAAGTACACCTAAAATACACCTAATTCCATATATATTTGGAAAAATTAAAACCTAAATTTAACGATGGGTCAGCTAGGTTTACGTAAACCACACACATGTTCGCGAATTTCCCGGAAACTAATGGAGCTACTAAATTAGTTTTAGTGGCGTTGAAGTACACCTAAAATACACCTAATTCCATATATATTTGGAAAAATTAAAACCTAAATTTAACGATGGGTCAGCTAGGTTTACGTAAACCTAGCTGACCCACACATTTTTGCGAATTTCTCGGAAGCTAATGGAGCTACTAAATTACTTTTGGTGGCGCTGAAGAACACCTGAAAGACACCTAATTCCTGCATATATGTATTTCGAAAATGAAAAAAAAAATTAAAGATTGTTCAGCTAGGTGAACAGCGCTAAGCTAGCTGAAAAACACACTTTTGCGAATTTCTCGGAAGCTAATGGAGCTACTAAATTACTTTTGGTGGCGCTGAAGAACACCTGAAAGACACCTAATTCCTGCATATATGTATTTCGAAAATTAAAAAAAAAAATTAAAGATTGTTCAGCTAGGTTAACAGAGCTAAGCTAGCTGAAAAGCACATTTTTGCGAACTTCTAGGAAACCAATGGAGCTACTAAATTGGTTATAGTGGCGTTGAAGAACACCTAAAAGACACCTA